TAAGCTCTTTATTTTATTTTTTTTTTAAAGATAGCATTTCACCCGGTGCACACATTTCTTTATCTCTCTATTACCACATACCACACCTGGGTATTATGGATATAACGTTTTGTTCCATCTTTCTACTAATATTTGTTTCAAATGTAATATGTTTAAATATCACCATCTCCCCGGGTGATGGAAGATGAGGCCTAACTGGGCTGTAGGAAATCCAGTTCAAAGCAGCTGAGTAAAGTAAGGAGCTAGCCTTTCTGTTATTCCAAGGGACGGTGGCCAACATCATGACCTACAGTTTCCTTAGGTAGAGGAGACAGCTCTGAGAAATATCTTACTGGGGAGTACCGAGGAGGGAGCCACAGCTCTGTAGCATCCTCCCACTTTGCAGTTTCTATGGTATTGTGGCCTGAGTGGGGAAACCCAGCCATTTCCTCTAGCCAAAAACAGATTTCCATTTGAAAAGGATCAGGATTTAAAGCTGGGGTAGATCCTACTCTAAGGCCATTGTCAAACACATGTAGCAGGATTCAACTAAGAGCAGCCTCGTTCCTGAGGAAGCTGTGCAGATGGTGGGAAAAACAGATTAGGGCATTTACATGGGATAGCTACGGTCTAAACTACTCCTGCCTCTGTGTGCCAACATGCAAACTGGACTGTCTTTCCAGTGGTGGTTCTGGAAGGGTAGGAGGCATTGCCTACTATAAACACACTTTGGTTGCCACTACTAGATGAGCATGCTACAATCACTACTAGATGAACACGCTACTATAAACACTACTAGATGAGTATAAACTAGATCTGGAACCTAGATGAATATAAACACTACTAGATGAACACGCTACAGCCACTACTAGGTGAACACACTACTAGATAAACACACTACACACGCCCAATGTCATCAGACATTGTTGGAGACACGTGTGTCGGTATGATGATTAGCCATAGTTATGCTTTCATCTTCTTAGCTGCTACCTTCACGTTTCCAAATGTTTGCCCTTTGAATTGATAAGGCTGCAGAAGTTTTCACAAGTGATTTTTCATTTCAGATGTTCTTAATAGATTAGAGCAGGATCGTGGTAGTTAAAGATCAGTTAGATCATTGAATCTGTCCCACTGCGGTGTGGGTTATTGCATAGCATATCAGAGGATGCACAGGTACAATGCTCCAGCCTTCGCCAACGCTGGTTCAGAGCTCTCATTTGAGCTTGAAGACCTCACCAGAATTATTTACTAATAGTTTAGAACGAGCTTTTCAGTAAGCTAAACTCTGGGTGAGGTCATATTTTAAAGTACAACGTAGTCCAATCATTAAGCTCCATGCAGTGAGACTATCACCCAAATGCAGAGTATGATTAATGGTACATACTTCATTTCCCTTCACAATGGAATAAATAGTGCCTGCCATTTGATAACAGATAGGTTTCCCGCAACTTGCTTCAAGTTACCATAATCAAATCTAGAGAGTTAGTATATTTAAGCTAGTAATTCAAAAGTAGGGTATATATATACAAGCTGTATATATCTCTGCAAAGCCTGACAGCTGAATGGAGACTATGACCTTCATTATTCTAAACCTCATTTACCCAGAACTCCCCATTATCTGCTACAGGACCATTTATCTAGCTAATCTATGTTTCTATTCTGGGCTATTCTTTACAGCATCTCAGTGCCTAAAACAGGGTCATTTTTAAAGACGGGTAAATAGTGCAAAAAAAAAAGTTTTCCCAACAATATTTCAGTGAATTCACTCAGCAGTGGGTTTCCCCCCTCCGCCCACAGAGTATTGAGGTAATCCATTTTATTCTCAAGAATGCTCAGGGAAAGCAGATGTGGGAGCTCTCTAAGCCAGTCACAGACTCCTTTCTGATGAGTTAAGGGGGGAAAAAATACCTCCCCAAAGCCTGTAAGAGATCAGGGCCCACTGGAGTTTTCACCTACTCAAAACTAGATCCTGACCAAAACCCCACAGAATTCAGAGGAAAGAATTCAGCCCCATTTGTCTGTCAAACTTGATTAATACAATTGTCCAAGTTTGGCTGTACCCAATTTTCTGGATAATCACTGGACAGATGAGTCACTGTACTACTCACTTACACCATGGGCAACAAATACAGCCACACCTTTGTGGCTGGTGTCAGACAGAACCAGACTTTTTGTCCTTACTGATTAAATTGCAAGTTATTTTTAAAAGTTAAACACAAGGTCTCGTTTTCCCACCTATAGAAGAAATGGAAGTGAAAAAGTGATGTAGCAATTCAGTTCTTTAATATCAGATACTAATCTGTAAACGCCGAGGCGCAATGAGGCAAAGCCCTTCCAACACAGATAAAGTTGCAGTTTTGTCTCCTAGTGGCTTGAGATGCCACTTGCTGTAAATAGTTTAATGCTATGTATTGATTTTACATTCCTGCATTTGTACTATTTCCACTTGAAAAAGCTGGTGAACGTTTGACTTTGGCTGATGAACCAAGACCGCTAGCATTGCCGGCTGGCAGAAGGATGTGAACCAGGCTGCTGTCTGATAAGAGAACCACAACTCCCACCGGTTTCATTGGGAGTTTCAAACATTTATCCAGTGGCAGAACTTAACTGTGCACTGTCAGTGCCATTACATGAATGGCAAGTGCCAACTGCACTGCCTTAGAAGTAGACACAGGAAGGAAATTGGTTTTCTTCGCTAGATGCCAAGAGACAAAAAAAGAAAAGGAACCCCCGCAACTAACCCTGATCTGGAAGGGGTGGCATACAATGATGTATGACCAGACAGCATGCCATAATATGCCTTGCATGTTGCTAATAAAGACATCCCTCCTAGATCTGTAAGGAAGTAGTGTGCTTCCTTGGAGAAAAAATACTGCAAGCTGCAACCATCGTAACCACTAGGAGAAACCACTTGCATAACACCCTTATAGTTTATTGTCTTGATTAATTCAACTTGATCGCAGCTTGAGCTACCTTTCTTGATTCCCATCACTAATCTCAAACCCGGATGGAACCACACCACTGAATAATAAGTTGTGTTTGTTGCCAGCTGTGTGCGTTAGGGACTGCTCCACCACCTAAACTGGGGTGAAATGATCTTACAGTGTTTCCAGGCTGTGACCTTTAGAGCAGACAGCCCAAATGATTTTCGGTCAATGCTCCCTCTGCTTGATTTAGAAGCCCATTCTAAAGGTAAAAAAGCCAGTGCATTGAGGCAACTCATTATCCCCTTGATCTGCTCTAGCCTGATAGATAACAAATCTGACCTTTGCTACAGAAATAGGTTGTTATACGGAGTAAAAGTTCATTCTGAGTGACACTGTGAATGTTAACTCTCCCAGAGACAAGGATACCTCCTCAGTGCATAATATGCAAATCAACTATACACATAATGTCACTCTCTGAGTGTGAGTGAAAAAAATGTGTGACAAAAGTCACTTCAGTTATATATATAATGCAATGAGAAGGATCTGAGAATGCAAACAGTAGGAGCTCCTTGGTGCTAAGCACTTGAAGTGGAGTTGCTATGTCTGGGTGCCAAAATGAAAAGGGAATTAAAAAAATCTGGCTCCTGTGCAGGTAGCAAGTACTTTAAAATCCACTTGCACATGGAAAATTCAACCTGGAAAACACCTTTGTTAAAAGACTTACCAGGACTGTAATAATCATGACAAAGACCAGAAGCTTCCTATTTCTGAAATCAGTTTGAAGCCCAATTATCAGTCTTTGATTTCATCTATTATGATAATTTGAAGGTCATCTGACTGCATAATGAGTTGCAATCAGGTCTGTTTTTTCTTCTTTTTAACCTTCTGATCTCCACCCCACCCCACCCTGGGACTTTTTTTTTGCCAAGTAATGCAGGTCCATAAAATACAAAAGTCTGAACAAGCCATTTTGCCAAGTTGCACAGATGAACCAGCTACATGAGCCAACCCTTACGAGAGTCACGAGTATACGCAAGCTTGCCAAAGTGTTCATCTGTTCCTGATGCAGCTCTTCAGTATGTTTATGCCTTTCTCTTCTCTGCTTGCAAATGTGGAACAGTAGAAAAAGCTGATAAAGGCATCTCTGGTGCATCACGGACTATATGGGTCTGCAATTTGCATGAAAGAGTTACCACATTACTGTACTCTGAATGTAGGTCAAGAAAAGAAAATGTTCAGTCTAAGGCACTCACTAGCTACCTTAGCCTACATGTGATACACCTGATAGTTTTGAAATGTATTTAACATTTTTCTTGCATTTGAATCTTTTTCATTAATGGCTTGCGGTCACCAATTATACAGAGGAACACAAACTAATAGAGCGCAGTCACCAAGACCAGTGACTGAATCAATACGCTGAGCATCCCTGCTATAGAGGTGGCCTTTGGCTTTCTGGAAGGAATTATTTGCCATATAAATGTGTGTATAATATAGCTTGAGGGAAGAATATTGGCACAAGGAATAGCGGCTCAGATCTTTTGCAGTCCAAGTGATGCAGTTCTACTGAAGTTACAGCTGGTTTTCTTAATAACAATGAAGTCAGTAGAGCTAACTTGTCCTCACCAAAGCAAAAATCTGGCCGCTTGTGTTCTCCTTGGTTCACTATTTCGCACAAGTTGCTCTCCCTTATGAAGAAAACAAAACAGCAAAAGAGTTTCCTTTTCATTATCATATTCAGTTCAGTTCTTGCTTCTACTGAAGGGAGACTGGCAGGGTATAAAACATGAAAAAGAAGCTCTTCAGCTACTAACCCTTTCTTTCCAATGACTACTAATCATCCTACACTCTTCTCTTTTTTCATGTATTAGGCTGTGAGTGCCGCTGAACAAAGAGCAATAAAGTGAAAGAACTTTGAAAAAAATATTTAAAAAACCCCCATATCCTTAAAACCAACAAGACCCAGGATAGCCGTCCTCCCAGGATAATGATCAGCAGCTCATTAAGCACTGTTACCTAGAGTATCCCTGCTGTTTTCTTATCAGACTGAAAGAACCATTAAGGCACTTACCATCCAGTACTGTATATTTGATATAAGTTCTTCCTCCTAGATTTATGAACTCCCCATTTCAATCCGCTGACTCTGGTATCGCTTTGAATCCAGTCTCTTTAAAAAAAGCAATGATAAGGAGGCCATGATTTGCAAAACTTTTGGCATTTGAAGTTCACTTGCTCACTGCTTTGAGTGGATCCAGGACCAGAATGTCCCTCCGTAACCAGGACCGCACAACGGTAGACTTTCCAGAGGCACAAGTCCCACTGACTTTGAATGGGACCACACTCCTAAGTCACTGGGTACTTCTAGAAATGCCAACCCCTCCTATTGCTGAACTTGCCAAAACTCCTCTGTACAGTAACAGATACATTTGTAGGCACCACCTTTATTGCCCATGACTCAAGAATGTTTTTGCCCAGTGAATTTATACCGTTTCCCTCCCCCTGTGCCAAGTCCCACACAGCAGAAGGCACAATAGAATGGAACATCAATACTAAAAGCAGGGCTGTCCAACCTCTGAGCCCCAAAGGGCCACCCCACACCAGTGGGGGCCAAATGTGGCATATGCCACATGAATCAAGCACAGGCTACCAGACCATGCAGGCACTGCCCCTACATCCCACTGCTGCACCGGTGCCCACACAGACATCCCCTTCCACTGCTGCTCCAGGTGCCCCACCACCTGCTGTGCTGCATGGGCACCCCTTCTCACTGTTGCACCATGCATGTGCGATCCCCACGCATGGCCCTGTATGTAGACAAGCCTGACATGTAGACAAGCAATGACTCACCGCTTGTGGGACTGTCCTGCCCTCTTGGACAGAGAGAGGAAGTAGCAGCTGGAGGAGGGACGGGAAGCCCAGATATCCCGGCTGCTGCTGCAGACAGAGTGATGGGGGGAGCAGCGGCCAGGCAGAAGCCTGGGGCTGCAACTTAAACCCCTGTAGGCTGCATGCAGGCCACAGGACGCCAGTTGGACAGCCCAGTACTAAAGCATCAAATTTCATTTAATTTTTAGCTAGCGGTGTGCCTGAGTGGCAACATTTAGACTCGCATGCAGATTTAGAGCATGACAGTGGCTCTCCCCCATCCCATCTGCAATGTCCATTGGACATCTGCGGTGCCAATAATTCTTGGTCCACATTGGAATGGACCTGAGGTCATTTGACGTTTTGGTGAAAAATACATGAGACCCATCCTCGAATATCCTATTGTTAAGGATGCTCAGCTGAGACGAGGGGGGCTCAGATTAGATTCTCTGCTTCAGCAAGTGCGCCCACAATTCAGATGTGGAAGGTTCAGGTCCCTGCTCTGCCCAATTCAAACCCAGCACATGGATCTCACTCCCACACCTTAGCCTAGTAGTCTGGCCACCAGGCTATTTACTGGTTAGTCTCCCAGTCATTCCTGTTACAGCTCTTCCATGCTGTCTCTCTCAAACCCCTCCCAAGATGGCTCACCCACCTACCAATTATGCCTCATTGAATTGGGTATTGCCAAGAATCAAACATTTGTTAGTCACCTCACCCAATGGGATGTTCATAGCATTTAGGTCTGAGTGCAATAAAAAAGTGTTAATTATAATCCCAGGGCTCTACAGGTAGAAGATCTCAATGCTTGTCTACTTGCCAGGCTGGAATCTGGTGCCCACTTGATCCTCACCCCAAGCAAGGCAGTTGGACAGCATAGATAGCTTGAGATCAGCCCTGAGCATATGTCTAAGCATCACTGTCAGGCACCCTCCTTCAGGGCATGTGTCAGTCCCAAGCTGTCTACATTTCCTAATTGCTGAGCTTGGAAGAGCAGGAGGGGTTTATTTTCTCAGCGGTGGTTTTGGACTTGTCCAGATGGACATGTAGAGTCAATTAGAGCAGGGGTTGGCAACCTACAGCCCGCTGGAACATGGCTGGATGGGCAGGTGGGGCAGCAGGGAGAAGCAGCGGTGGCAGTGAGAGTGGCCAGGTCCTAGCACTGGCCTGTCTCAAAACCAAACTGGGCCATTTGGCCTGCCACCAGCAAAAGTTGTCATCTGCTGAAATGGAGTGCTTTTTCTTTGCATACAAAAATAAAAAGACATGGGATTTTTACATGTATATTGGCATCTTAGTACCTGCCTTTGGCAGCTAGTGCCCATGACTCCAGAGCAACAAAAGCAACTAGCTGCAACCATGGCTTAACATCATTTATAAGCAGGACTCCAGGAAAAAGATGAGGCTACAGAGAGGACTGGGCTTTGTAAGAAAATGCTGTAAGAACTGGAATGGTGATTAAGAGGTAGTGTACTCCTACTCTTTCTATGGCTGGTGTTCAAAGATTCATGAGGCATCAAAGCAAAATACAGTGTCTTGATTTCAAAATACTTTATCATGCAAAATATCTCTCAGGGCAACTCATTAGCAACCTTGTGAGGACAAACAAAGATAACCAATGTATTTCCAACCATTACCTCGTTTCTACGGAGAATGGCAGTTGAGGTAAATTACTGCTTATTTGTATGTTGTAATGATGCTGCCAAAAAGGAGGAAGTGTTTTATTACTTACAGTTCCTCCAGGAGTTTTGCAGATTATCTTTCCACTACGCAGATGCCAATCAAAACAACACGGCAATGAGAAAGACCGGCTAAAATGTGTTTTGTTTTATTTTGTTTTTTCAAGTAATGCTATTCATTTGAGAGTCAGGAAAGAAACTGGCACATTTGTGGGAGTTCATCTTCAGGGAATAAATCTATTGCTATGTACATTTTATTGCTACTACAAACATCACTCTTTTTTTGAGATGCTGTATAGTGCCTCAAACATGAAAGCTGATATATTTTTTAAATGCTAGATGTGTCAATCAGCTGGACCGCCATGATTTCAAACAGTAGTGCTCATGGTTTGGGCTCCACAGGCCGGGTTAATGGTGTGGGGCTGGTCTGCAGGCTGGATTGGGCCCTGTGCTGCTTCATGTCAAGAGATCGGGTTTTGGGCACGCCACACCGCCTCCACTTAGCTGGGATTGAGCTCAGGGGTCCCATGATGCCTCCGCTGAGTCCCTGCATGCAGGGATCAGGCCCTGTGTTGCCCTATATGCCCAATCTAGCATGCAGGGCAAATCCTGCAGGGCTCCCCACAGATCCATAGGGAGACTTGCAGGCTGGATAATATGCTGACAGTGGCCAGACCTGGCTTGTGGGCCAGGAGTTCAGCACCTCTGATTTATAATGACAGGAACCATGAACAACTTGATTACAGAGGGGATGGGTTTTCCCAAGCGTCCATTGGGAAGGATTTTCCAGCAGTTAACACTAATGAAAAATTGATTGTCTCTTACCTACAGAGTGAATAGGACTGCTAAGCAATTGCATATTCCAGTGCCCTTTGTTGCTCTCACTCAAGTCACCCTCAGAAGACTGAACACCCTACCAGAAATGTCTTAAAGGAGACAAAATATCACATTTGAAATACCTCATCTCTCTAGATAGAACCATAGAGCAAACTTCGTCAAGGCTGATTCTGCATCTTATCCTTCTGGAGTAAATTAGTTCAATATCTTGTAACTTATTGCTTATGAGTCAAGTTAGTTAAAATTCAGAATTAATATTTCAGGAAAATATTTCTAAATTGGTTGACCAACCTGAATGAAAAACAAAATTAAGCATTTCCTGTAAAATGGAAATTTGGAAAAAAATGGTTTGAGGAATACCCATTTTGGAATTTTATTTCATGGGCTCGCTCATTTTTTACATGATCTTATTTCTCACAAAATCTTTTCACGTTATTTTTATGATCTATTAATTGCCATTTTATAGGATAGGAAACTGAAAATTTACTCTTTTGACAAAACCAACATTTGCCACCGAATAAACTTTTCAATGAAAACGTTCTGACCAGCTGAAAATATGAATCTTATAGACATGACAGCATCCATGATCCTATCTTTTCAGCAAGCACATGAAAAACCTCTCGTGGTCCTTTTCATAAGTTACCTCCATGTGCTGAACTAGCACTTGCTCTCTGCCCATTTTGTTCCATGTGCTTTGAACACCAAAATGCTATCCCATTTCTCCAGGAGTCACAGCACTTCACTGATGTTGTATATGTATTTAGTCTGAAGCACACAAGGATAAAAGGAACTCCATAAATCTCATATATGGTAGCATTATTTTCTATTCTCACAGCAGTCTTGGATATAAGAAAAAGGTATGGGATTGCAATGTCTCCAAAGGATTATAATATTAATTACAGCACTGTACCATTATTTTTACTTTTTTGATGTTCTGTAAATGAAATGGCCATAGACATTTTACTGCCTTTGATTAGAGCTTCACTAACCCATGTGAAAATGCCATAATGCATTACAGAAAGGTTATTGAAGAAGTGGCAAAGAGTGTATAAAGACAGCAACTGAGACTATAGAGAATCTTACTGGATTTTGCTACATGAAGAGGCTAAGAGAGCTGAGTTTGTAAGAAGAGAAGCAATACTACAAGGGCATGCTTGAGCTGGATAATATACTTTGGGCATCTCTAGAAGTAAATAATTTGAAACTATTGGCGATCAGGAACAAGAATCTTTAGGGGGGAATCAAATATTGAATGATTTTATGAGAGTTTACTTCTTTATCCAAAATGACAGGGTGGTATCAGGCCCTATGATCATTAAAGACTGGAAAAAGGTTCTGAGCCAAAACACTGGGTGGACAGAAATTGGTATCATGAGATCCTTTTGTGAGAAGCCTGGTTTCCTTGTGAGAAATTTGACAATTTTAACATTCTTACATAGTCTCTGTTAAAAAATAAATACTTTTTTTGTCCCAGAAATAAGTTGAATCCTGGGTTTTTTGATGGTGAAGTTCATGAACCATCAAACTGTTGTAAGCTAATGAGGTAAATACCTTCTCAGCTTTTTGATATACTCTGTATCCTTCAAGGCATAGCAGAATGCCTACCAGAGATACGTCGCTTGCCTGACAACCCCTCACTAGCACTCAGAGTATCGACTTGACTTTACCAATTTAAAAGTAGCCGTCCTTGTACCAGAGCTCATACCCAACTGCATTTGTTGTTATTCCTCTAATGTTCTTTGAAGCTTTGACAAGGGGGAAAAAAATACAAAATTTGTGAAATGGTCAAAGGGAAGAGTTGACCTTGCTTTATCATCCTACTGACAATTTAACCGAATTGTTGATCCTAATCAGAAGAATCCTTTCTCTAGCAACTGTCCAATAAAGTGAAAAGAGCAGAAGGGTACTTTATGCTTAGCTTTCTAAGATGTACAAAAGAGGAGTAGTTTAATGATTTAGACCCAGGACTTTTCATCCAAAAGCACTTGGAAAGCTGGTAAGAATTGTGCGATGCCTTGTTCAAGAGCAGAAGCGAGTTAAGAGTGGAGACAGCTGCTGTCTTTGGGCATTTTGCAGCAATGCCTCTCAGTATTATACAGGGTACAAGTACCACCTGAACCTCATAGCTCTGTAAAATCAATGGCAAGACAACCTGAATGGTTGTTAAAAAAAAAAAAATGTATACACATTTTTATATATATATATATATATATAAAATTGCCACAAGTAACAGGCACATACAGCTGTATGGGAGCATCCACCCTGTATATAGATAGGGCAGGCATTTTCTTTCTTCCCTGCACCTTATTCACGGAGCAGTTCAATATCTCTTGCCTTCCTCTGGCCTTTAGCTTAGCAGGTTATTTTACACCTCATAAAAGTTACTAATAAAAACCACAGAATAAAAAATGATGATGTCGGTGTCCTTCATTGTCGTTTTGGTTCAGTGCCATTCGGCAGCTCAAAACGTATCGCTATACGCCGCCGGCTGTCCAAGGCAGGTGTTAAGACCTCAGGATTGTAAAGTCAGTGTTCAAAGAGAAATGTCACTCAACACACTCTTTGGCAGCAGATATATTTCTTTGTCACAAGGAGGTCAAATTTAGTGGCCCCTAAATTCCCCAAATAATGTTAATAATGGGTCTACTAGATTTCACCTGTTAGACTCCATTTAAGACTCTCAACAACCCCAAATGCCCAGACTTCCTATGGTACCACTCACAGAGGGACCTCAAAGTACATTTTACAGGAATGAGGGAATTCACTCATCCTTCTGATTCTTGGCCCAGCAGAAGACAAAGAAATTGGGAGTGAAGCTGTCACTTTGCTGAGGTCACTTCTTCAAGCCATTGTGCTGCCCTTCCCTGTATTAAGAGC